TTCCAATGGGGGGGGGGGGCGGAGTGCTTGGTTTAAGGGTCAGATTTTCAAAAACACAGCTCCCCCTGTTCTCGAACACTGTTGGGTACTTGCCAAAAGTATTTCATACCCTCTGACACAAGGAGTGGCTGCAAAGATCATTACTCCAATGTACCCTAAATAGAAATTATTTAAAGGAAATATGGGCAGAGCAGGATCTGATACAATCCACATGGTGAGTCATATTCAGCATGGCCATTAATAATCAGGTCCGGTGAAAATCAGAATTGAAGAATGGTGAGATTGTACCTCTGCTTCTACTCACAGTTTGGATATGATGACACAATTTCAGCTTACCTATATTGGAGTCCTAATAAGCTTAGAGGGCCAATGTGGATATTAATACAAGCACTCTCACCAAGGTGCAGAAATTGGGCAATGCAAAAAGGAACAAAGGTTTTGGAATTTTAAAAGAATTCAGGCATAAATGGCATTTTTACTCCTATCTGCCTAAATCCCCTTTGAAAATGAGTGTTGGGCTCAGTTAGATTTTTATAATTGCTGAAGGCAGCAATGGCTCAATATCATTAAAACTCTTGGTGGTAATAAGTCAAAGCCAATCAAAAGAGAAGGCAGGAAAAAGCAGAGGCAGCAGCTCAGACAAGCAGGCAAGAATGAGTTTTCATCGGGTAATTCATAGGTTAGCAGAATCTTAGAGTTGTTAATATTTTATATACATATTTTGATTTGATATACAGTCAAATCAAACGTTCAAGGGAAAAGTGCTGGAGGATAGGTGTTCTATGAGAAGAAGTGGGTAAGATCCACATATTCACTCCTTTGGACCCATATAAATTCATTAGCAAAATGATGCAGCCTTAAGATATTACCTTTTCTGCACAGCCCTGCCCCCTCCTCCATCCTGTGGGCAGTCATGCCCAGGAGATAGCTTTCTTAGTATGGATACAGTATAGAGATATGCTGCCAGGGATGGGAGTGGGGGGAAGAAATGTGGTTCAGAGCTGGTTTAAATGATGTGGGGCAATTCACATTAGAGGATCATCAAAGAATCTTCCTCTGAGCCCTCCCATAGGCTG